TACCTCTGTGTTTGCTGCTAATACTCTTTTTATTGATGTGCAACTACATGTATACATTGATAAGCTTGGAAATGAAACTGTAATGTCTGTTAACAGTGTTTGTGGAACGACCATTGTGTATGCAAGTGCTTGGGAAAAATGGAAACCACTAGTTTAATAAATCTGATATCATAATGTCACGGGATATTCTCTGTATATTACACAGTGCTGCTGTTGTTTTCAGAGAAGCTCCGAACAAAGAAAAACAATCTCAAAGTAAACTGATAAATAAATGAAAGCTCCGTTAACAGCTCCATTACAACGAAAAAAATTCACGACCAATACTAGTAACTCAGGGAATACTGGTGGGGCTACTACATTAAGTAGTCAGAAAACTACTATAAGAGACATCAGTGTAATTCAAGATACACCGGTAACTCAGGGAAACACAGCAGATACTGGAATCAAACCCAACCTCTCACCCCAGGTATGCTATACATTAATATTATTGAGACCAACGGTTCTAGCTTTTCCACATAAACAGGAGGTAATCAAGTACCATTGTCTCTGTCCACCCATCTGTCCATCCGTCCGTCTGTCTGTATGTCTGGCCATCCGTCTGTGTGTCATATGTTATTCAATTGATATTGAAAAGGTTTGTGAGTGCTAAAAAAATATCCTCAATTATATTGACTGGTACTGACTTCCAAAATTTGCACTTCATGATTTAACAACATGCATGCAATGCCAAGGTCATCTTGAATACCAGGAACCAGGAAATCAATCTAACTTCTCACTGCTCTTTCTACAGATTGCAGCAAAACTTCCAAAACAAAAGCATTTCAGACAACATGATCAGCAAAGAAAGGAACTGTTTTCAAAACCTCCATCACAATTCAGGAATACAACAAATATTGCTACGACAAGTATTGGCGATGAAATGCAGAAAGACAACCAACCAGCAGAATGCAGCATTATGCCAAATCACACACAGGCTGTTGAAACGAAAGTACAGATGACTACAGATGGTAAGAATTATATTGTTGTAGATTGTTTTTAAATTTCTCCTTCCCCATAATAAATACAGGGAAAAAATTGATCACAATTTCATAATTACTGATTATGACACATGTCATTAACTTTTTTCTCAGTATGAAATATTTGTTTAGAAAAAAAAACTGCCTAAAAATAGTACCAACACTGTAGCAACCTTGCAGCAACCCTACAGCAATCCTACAGGAACCCTGTAGCAACCCTTTAGGTACCCTGAAGGAGCCCTTTAGCAACCAGACAAGAACCCTGTAGCTCTGTAAAACCCTTCAGCAGCCCTGAAGGAACCCTTTAGCAACCCTGTAAGTTACCC